ATCACATTGTATAGCTTTGTCTACGAGAATTATCTTCTTCTGACAATAAAGTATATTTTGATTGATTGATTGATTGATCACTCTAAGGAGGCCATGTACAATTGCAAGTGGAAACAAAGCTTAAGAAATAGTGCTATCCAATATAATCTAATCCAATCAGTGGAAAAATATATATTCATAATAAAGCACTATTTTGAAGAAAATATTTGAAATAAAAAATGCGATAATTGACAAGTTTCTTAATGTTCGATTTAGGTTTCATTTCAAATCAGTGCTATAATATTTCATGCAGTTGAAATTATTTATAGTCCCTTAAAATTGAATTCGAAACATGAAATTGAATTTCATATTTCAAAACATAGCCACGCTTCACACGTGACCAACATTATTTTATTATGTTTGCTCTTGATCAAACCAGAAACTGAAATTTCGAGAAAAGCTATCAGAAAGGATCCACAAATTTTGTATGAAACGGAATTCACACTGTGTACATGTCTGAACCAACGACCACTTCAAATTACAGACATGTGATTGCCAAAACCCACCTGAACTATCTATATCACTGATGATGTAATCCTTCGCGGTTATGGAATTGTTTATACGTCCTGGCCCAGGATGTCACACTTGTTATAATAAACCGGCTAAGCCGACCGTCTTAGATTCATGACGTCATAACTCACGCTTAGTGTCACCGGGATCCGCCGGAAATGTTTCACGCAACCCTCCCTATTCCCGGTCTTGTTTTTTCATTGTTTATTTTGACATTTTATTACCTGGATAGCGATGGGGAGGAAGAGAGTCACGACAGCGAATTTCTTATTTGGATGGCGCTTTAGAAAATGTTTCAAAAAGTAGATTTTCATGTTGAATTTTGAAATAATTTTTCTGAGAGTGAGTAAGAATGTACTTAGAATATCACTATCTGTCAGTCTGTCTGTCTGAACGCGATAAACTGCGGACGGATTTTACTATCGTTTACACCCAAGGACGGAGCGATTACAGAGAAAGATTTATTTCAAAGCGAATGACAACGTTTCATGATAAATTTTACTAGTTCGGAATTCCAATGTCTGAAATATTCTAATATGATTCGAAAGAACAAATGAAATCAAAATTGATAGCTAAAATATCAGTTATATTAAGCAATAAAACGTGAAGTGAAAATACAATAAAATGAATGAAATAATCAAGATGAAAGATGAATATGACTATAGAATGAAAAAAATAATAAACAAAAATTTATATCGATTGTGTATACGTTTTATCGCTTATGGGCGTTTCAATGAAAACTTGACCCCCCTGTAAGTCAGAAACGGACGTGTAATCGGAAATTTCAAAGAGCACATCAATTTTCATTTCTAGAGGGACTGATTCGGATATGGAAATCATACCCGGAACTTCATCCCCCTGCGTTCAGGAACTATCTTTAAATTTTAGAAAATGATGGCAATGGTGCACCTCACATTTTGATGTTCCAGTGAGACAGTTTTTGGACGAACGTTTCCAATTCATTGGATCGGCAGAAATGGTCCAGTGGAGTAGCCAGCTGGATCACCTGATGGACTTCTTTCTCTGTGGACACCTGAAGTCGAAAGTGTACTCTTCTAAGCCTACAAATCTAGAAGACCTGCGACAGAGAATTGTATGGGAATGCCGATTGCTGACTCCGGACATCTTGTACGGAACGTATTATTGTTTGTAACTGAGTGGAGGTCATTTTGAACAATTTATCTGTTGATTTTGTGTCCGCTGATATTATTTGTTGTTGATTTCCTCATTAAAATGAATGACAGCGAATTTTTCGTTTTCACTTTAATAGAAAGTTCAGCATTTAATTTCTCAATAACGAATGAACCAATGTCGAAAAAAAATTGTAGAGGTAATAAAGGGATCCCCATGCCATTGAAAAAAATAGGGGGGTAGTTACTGACCGCAGAGGGGTTAAGTTTCGGGCGTGACTTTCATATCAGAATTACTCCCTCTAGAAATAACAATTGACGTGATTTTTTAAATTTTTGATTACGCGGGGTCAAGTTTTCGTTAGAACGCCCTGTATATAATCGATATTCCAGCTGTACATTCTAGTTTTGATTGTTTCTTCATGGATTTGAAATCATATTAGGCAATACAAGGACGATCTGGTGAAATTCAGGAAGTTTTATGGTAATGTTCGGTTTGGAACATTTTATAATTATGAACAAAAAGTTGTGAAACATTTGTTGTATTCCAGATGTCGTGGGTACTGAGAACCTGTTTCTACAACTGTATTGTTCTGGAAAGAAAATGCCCCATAAACATTTTTCATTCGTGCAGATCAGTATAAGATATAAAGGAAGTTTTCGCGTAAGTAGAACTATCATTCACTTGCAGGTAAATTAAAAACGAACGATTTTTTCGAAACTTTCTTATGAATGACAATTCAAAGTGTTCCTGCTGGTACTTCATAGTGTTCTCGATCACCAAATATTTTTCTTTGTCGAACAAGGTCGTGATGATGTTACTGGAGTTCCTTTTTTTTTCGATGTGTGTTGCCAGGCTGCATTTGGTTTACAAGATGGCGAAAAAGCAATATTTCCAGATAATCAAAAAGAGTTGATAACTTAAAATTTGGTGTAGATCGAAGAAGTTTTCCTCAGTTTGCGCGACAAAAACCTTTCTGATACATTCAGACTGCATATTCTTATCAGTAAGTCGCGGTGCAAGAAACAATATTTCCTTCGACACACGTGTTTCACAATTTCCAAACCGACTCAGAAGAGGCACAGAAAAACTTTCAAAATACAAACATTCTTCCAAAACACGTTTGTTCTGGATAATGTTCCATTGGAATTCACAACTTGTTTCACAATATTGTTTTGTACAACTTGCGTATATTTAAATGCGGCTTCAGACACTGAAACAATTGAACCCTACCTATTTCATGAAACACCCTGTATTTTAGAATAGTTTCAAAATTCCAAGATGAATTTCAGTTATTTTCATGAAACATTCCCTATATCAAAAAAAATCTGCCATGCTAACGGCATTATTTCGGTAAAAAATGAGCTCGAAATTGGGAATAATTACTCATATTCAATTTGCCAACCAACATAACCCCTAGCCATGTTGAATCATTTATTCTCACTTAATCAGACAAATTAAGTAATTTTCATGTGAGAAAACTCTGTATTATGAACTTTATAATTTTTTCTGTGATATTTTTCAATATGATCGGAAGTGGGAATTTGAGTTTGATTTAAAAATCCGACACTTTCCTGCAGCTGATCAAGCAAATGCGCCACTGGAATCAATCAAGTCGCCCCGAAGCGCCAATTAATTTTTATTGTTGTATTTATTTTTAACATAGAGTTGCCCATGGGAAAAATTTCACGATATTTCGTTCACTACAGAATGAATTCAACTTATACTATAGCCTCAACAAAACGTGGTGGTTATGCTATTGAACGGTAACTTGTATGACACGTTTGTAGGGTCAACATGACAGCGCCATCTATTGATTACATACTCACTCCAGTCAACAGATATCGCCATCTGTTAAACTCATTTGGAGTTGTCAAATAATAGACAAATAATTTGCAATAAAATAATATTGCGACTATAAATTGAGATGTAATCTATCATATCTATCAAGCTGGATACAACTGCACACGGTGTGCAAATTTGATTAAAATCGGTTAAGTAGTTCAGTAGTCCATCGCGGAAAAATAGCGTGACACGTAATTCATATATATTAGAATATGATTTCGTGAAAATGAATAGATACTATTCCGATCACTAACAATTCAATTATTATTATTATTATTGTTGAATTATTGTTGAAAGAAAATATAAAACGTGACACACCAAAATGAAAGACGCAAATAAAATTTCATATTCGAATATAATATCATAAAAAATATTTGAAAAACGTCCGTTTTGAACAATAATCGTATATTCAAGAAGAATGACAAATATCAATCATGAAATTAAAAATACTACAGCATGAGCCTCATGGCCTAGAACATCCAATTCCATTGACAACATCCCTCGACTTAGAATAACCCCTAGCCACAGTTACCCTTCTCTTTTCGAATGCATCCACGATATTTTTCAAAGTTTGACAACCGAAAGAGTTTACGGATAATTTTATCGTCACCAGAGCTCCCAAATCTCCTAAGAGATTTTGCGTGTTCAAGCTGCTCAAATAATTCGATTTGAGATTTAATTCTTTCAAATTATTAAGACCACCAAAGGCGCCAGTTGCCAGAGAAGCGATTTCGTTATCACTTAGATTGAGAACTTCCAGCTTATTCAACTTATCGAAGGAGTTGGGCGGAAGGGATTTGAGTTTATTATTGTTCAGGTTCAGGATTTTCAGGGATTTCAGATTGGCTATTGCTGAAGGTACCTTTTGGAAGTTATTGAATCCAATGTTGAGTTCTATAAGATTTGCTGTATCCTCGAAGACGTATTGCTCTATGTCGGATATTTTGTTCATGCCCAAATCTAGAATTTTCAAGTTCCTACAATCCCTCAACACGCCATTTTTGATAATTTCCAGCTGGTTGTTGTAGAGAGAAAGTTTTTCCAGGTTGTACAATCTTTCAAATGCTCCAACTTCTAAATTGTTGACTTTGTTGTTGCTGATGTGTAAAATTTTCAGTTCCGTTAGGAATTTGAAGGTGCCTGTGGGTATTTCCCGCAATGTTCCTTTTTCGAATTCGAGCAAATATTTGTAATTATTGACTCTCAGTGGATTGCCTCGTTGTAATATTTCATTTCCACACGTGGTCACCCCTACTGTAGATCTGCACAACTGAATACTAGATTTTGCGAATGTTAAGAGCAAAAGTGTTACATACACCCTCATTTCTGAATCTGAAAAAGTGAAACAAAACTGGTTACTCACGCGTTGTAGCTACATGAAAATAATACTTCATTTGTTTCCATATAATATAGAATACGTCATTATACTACGTTACAAACACTAAATATCACAAAATAACTGGAGTTTCAAAAGTTTTGTCTGTTTTTATGATCTACTTCAAACAGTAATATCTCAGTGAATACTTATTCAATTCAGTATAAATGAGAGTCATTTGAATCACTGCACTTTTGCTAACGTAACACTAGTCGACTAATTCCATCAGCATAGAAATTGGGTGCTAGGGCCGTTATCGTCTGGTCGTGATTGGTGGAGCTTCTACTGGTAGAAAGTTATCAAAGCAAGTAGCGAGAGGTTTGGGAAGTATGGTGGGTGAGGCGAAACTTTGACGTCAAATCGTTCAATTTTCGTACCTTGATTTGTGAAACGAACGGAAGGGCGTTGTCATGGAACAGGATCGGACCGCTTTTCTTGACCAGTGTCGGCTGCTGATGACGCAATTTTTGTTATATTTCGCCCTGAGAGCGGTTCTGTGTGAAAGTAGCGCGAAAGTAGCGAAAGTAGCGCGTAGCATTTATATTTCATATAAACACAGTTCTCCACATGAAAGAGTTCTCCACATGAAAGAGTTCTCAAAAAGTGGAGTCGAAGGTGTACTGAGTTGAACTTCGAAACGATGAGCAGCCACAGTCCGTCGCGTATTTATGACATGTACCACTCTTGGTGGAATCATATGTGCCAAGTGACTTGAAAAACTGCCGTGAAATTATTTATAAAAGATAATCGAATCTCCAACCTTTTTTTCGATTTTCCAGACAATAAAGGTTGCAAGTGATGTTCGCGTCTCCAATCAGGCGGGTGGCTATTTTCTGGATAGAATCTAGCAGCTTCAGGGAATGCTTATGGGCGGAGCTGCATACATGCGAACAATACTTCAAAGAAGGACTGATCTGAGCTTTATAAAGCATAAAAAATTGCTGAGGTTTGGAACAGTGTTCCAAACTTTTGAGAAGCAGCCTTTGCAATTCCAACGACATAATTGTACCAAGACATAGTGGGGTCCATTTTAACCCCCAACAAACTTATGTAAGCAGAAAGCGGAATTGTCTGTCCTCACATTATTATATCCGGTTCGGAGACATTTGTCTTTTTGGAGAAAACCGATGCCTTGTTTTGTAGAATTGAATTGAACCTTCCACCACAATTCGAAATCACTTCTAGATCCTCATCAAGATATGCAACCTCCTGCTGCCAGTGAAGATGTGTATCTGCAGTCGATGTCCTGGAATCCAAATGGAATGACAAGACGAGTGTGTTGTCGTCAGCAAAGCAATGGATTGGATTTAATACATTGAAACGGACAAAACTTTTAAAATCTATTGGTATAATACTGTAACTTCGTATATAAATGAAAGTACATCCCAAATTGCAATACTGAATGCAAAATCGAACATACACTTATACTTATACTTTTACAATGCAAAACATTTTTATATGAAATATTCATTTTATTGCGGGAAATTAATCAGTCCAATGAATATGATTTGAATTCTACTCCAGATTTTGTGAAATTTTGTTAACTGTCAATACTATTTGAAAGCCAAATTCAAAGCCTCATTGGATTTTCATTCAACTAATTTTTTCCAACCAGTAAATCAGGAATAGCAGAGCATGTTTGAACTCAATAACATGATGTTATGTTATGGCTCAATCTGAAATCATCCACAAGGAAGAACAGGCATTTAGCCAAGCTAGTGTAGAGATACGCAACTTATGGAAACCTCTAATCAAGCGGAACACGACCAACTCCCGCCAAACGGTCAGTTCCCGCTAAAACCGATAAGCGGAGAGAGGTTAGAGGGGATAGGTGAAATCACTCGAATAACCTATAAATAGTCAGATCTCCGAGGAATAAGTCCAGTTATCACCCGAAGACGCTTGTGGATACTAACAATCGAAACGTCGTCAAGTAATTTGGTTTGGAATCTTTTAATTTTTAATTTTAATTCCTTGTTAATAATTTTCATTTCGTATTCTTTCAGGGATTTGAAATCATTTCATATCATATTACACAATGGATGTCCGAACTACTGATGTGCACCTTCAAACCAACAAATATTAAGTTGAGAGATAGTTTAAATCTAATTTTTGACTTTATAAAAATAAACTGGGGCTCAAAATTCAATTCAAATTGAAGTCAAAACTACAAGTACAAAAATACAATCCCAAAATAATGGAAAAACGACAAAAAGTGAGGCGAAGCATTACCAAGGTCTTACCCAACAGTATGCGATTCCCAGCACTAATATCAGTTCGAAACCATCAAGAATTTCAATTTAGGAAAAGAAAATATTTACCTATGGTAGAGGACAAACCCTTTTGAACATATACGTACTTTACTTTTTTTACTGATTTTCTTGATTTATTTTTGATGGGTTCTTGGAAAATATTTCTATCATCTGTTTCGTATATATCGAAATTCGTGAGTATTCCACAAGATATTTCTTTTTTCAAATATTCAGAAGAAAGAACTTTGAAAAGGTTTGGTTCTATTAAACATCTTTGAGACTCGGTGAAGTAACTAGCTTGAATGTATTTTGCATATAATTCAATGTCCATCGTTGTATCAGCTGAAAAACTTCTTTAATTGTTTAATGGCAGGCATTTACGAGATCCCACCCAGCCACATTGTAGGGGGTAGCCAATGTGTTGGTGAGTGCCTTGTGTTGATGGTGCTGCTTATTGTTCTGGCGTCGTATCGGTTTTAGAGTTTCTGAAATCTTAGGGTCATTTTAGATTTATTAGGGTTATTTTTACTGTGTTATACAAATCTTGGGAGGGGAATCGGAAAAGATGGTTATGGATATCGCGTAGGATTCTTCTCTTGGTTGTTGGAATGCGGAGGGAACGTTTCAAGGAGATCGTGCAGTAGATCGTGACTTTATAGCCAAGGATCGGTCTTATGTAAGTGTTGTATGTTTGTAATAGATTCTTACTCTCGAATCTTTCGAACCTGCCTCTCAGCGCTTTTCAGAGCGTTGCTTTTTTCTGAACCCTGTCCAGAGTTTCTCCCAGGCCGGTTTCCCAGTTGAGGGTCCTCGTGAAAGTGACTCTCAAGTAGGTTACCAAAGTCTTGGAGTGGGAGGTTGTCTCCCAAATGTCTGAGGTTCAAGTTATCGGTATTGACTCTGGGGCGGGTTGTGGTGTTTGGGATGGTTTGGGATTTGGTGGGGGTTATTTTGATGTGCCACGTGTTGCACCAGTGCTCAAAGTGTTAATCATTGCTTGGGTTTGAGGTTACAGGATTAGTGTACCCGAGTATAGAATTGTGTCATCTGCGAACTGAAGGAAGTTTTGGGTGGTAGGGGCGTTGTGTGCGTAGCTTAGGAAAAGAAAACGGGGTTGGACAGAATCCTGGAGACCTTCAGATTTGGGTGTAAGGTAAGAGGATAGGGCATCACCGACTTCAACGCGGATTTATCGGTTGGCAAGGTAGGAGGCAACTAGTCTGAAGGGTTTGGTTTTGAAAGACATCACTATATTATGCAGGTAACTACAGGTAGTTTCGGTTTTCTTCTTACGCTATATTCCTATACCTGCCCATGTTTGACACTGTTCCAATGAGTAATTTTGTTTTTCACATAAATCAAACATTCATATAAGTATTCTTGAAACACAGTGAAAATGTGTCTTGAATTTTTCGAATAGGTTGTTCAGTACTGATTATAAATGAGCTGCGATTATTTCCCGAAAAGTTTTTCTGTGGGAGGAAAATATTCACTGTATGACTTGACGTACCCGGAGCAATTGCAGTATATGACTTTAGGGCCTGTGTCAGTTAGACACTCTGATGCTATTTCCAGTCTAATTGTTCTTCAATTGCCCAATGATGAAAGTTGGGTAGTACCATATTTAAAGGCAAGGCACATGAGATACGTCATTGACTTTCAATACTACACGTCGTAACAGATTTTTTTCTGGAATTGTCTGAGTTGAAATACTTTCATGAGATAACAAAACACTGGGCAAATACTTATGAATCATTATTAATCTGTTTATCCATTCTTCAATCTCAATTTTCAGATTGAAAACGGAATTCAAAATGCATTTCATGTCAACAACCGTCAAACGAAGGATTTCAAAATAACCTCTTCTGAGACTCAACTACGACAAATCATTCAACATCATTTGTTCACTTTGTTAACTCAAATGAAAATCTATTTCTTGTTCATACTTTAATTCCATCATGTTTTTTATCGAAATTTTCAAAGTTTGTTTTCATTATTTTTACAACGAAGTCCGAAGGAATTGATACCTTTACTTTTCATAACTTCGATGAAGTATTTCAAATCTTCACAAGTAAATGAATTATTGGATAATTTGATGGTTTTAAGTGATTTTAAATCACTCAGAACGGTTTGTAAGTCTAAATTTGTGAGGATGTTGTTCTCAAGATTCAAGTCTTCAAGACTTTGAAGACCATTAAATGTATTTGGCGTTATAGTTCTCAGTTGATTTCCGAGCAGATCAAAAATTTGCAACTTGTTCAAACTACTGAAAAAGTAAGGTGAAATAGATTTCAATCTATTGTAGTGCAGTGTCAAAGTTGTCAGAGACTTCAAATTATTTATACTATCTGGTATACTTTCTGAGTTATTGAATCCCAAATCGAGTTCTCTCAGATTTGTCATGTTATCAAAAGCATTGGATTCAATATCCATTATTCTATTTGTCCTTATCGTCAGAACTTCCAACTTTATACAGGTACTGAATACTCTTCTGATCTTCAAGTGGTTTTGATCCAACGATATCATTTTCACGTTTGGAAAACTATCTAAAAAACCTTCTTTTATAATTTTCAAGCCGTTCCAGTTTATTCGTATGTTTTTGATATCTGATAATTGTTCAAATCCCTTCGGATGTCATTCTAACAGGGTATCTCTTCTGACTTCAATGAGGTTTTGATATACGTTAACATTCAGTGACTTG